CGTTCACTGCCTGTTCTACTGGGACTTCATTGAGGTTGTGAGCCTTGCAAGGTACCTCAACGTAGGTTTCAAAGGTATGGTCAGCAGTGAGAAAAGGTACTTCATTGTGAGGAAAACCCCCAGCCAGTGGGTGTGACTGGGGATGAAAAACCTCAGATGAAGTCCACAGGAACTTCAGGAACTATCTACAAGGTATGTACAGGGGAAGTGGAAGGTACCTATGCTCTGGGGTTGAACTTCAGTACAAGTTCATAGTGGTTACCTGTGTAGTACAGGGCATGCCACTGAGGGGGGTTGTTGACCTTGTTGACCTCAAAGTAGCTTCTGTCTGGGTTGATGATGACCAAACTGAGGTTGAAGATACTTACTGCAGCACTCAAGGTAGCATCATCCCCCCATGTACCTACTCTGGCCATCTGAGTGAGGTAGGTTCTGAAGGTCAGAGCCTGGCCTCTGCTGAGGAGTGGGTGGGCAGGTATCTCCTTGGTTGCCAGGATAGCTTCTACCATGTTCTGGTGATGTTCAAGGTACTTGACCACCTCTGTACGTACGTTCAGGTGGCGGTTCTGGGTACCATAGATGATCTTGGAAAGTACCCTGAACTGGCAGTTGCCATCTGCCTTGATGTAGCCAGAGGTCATCCTGTAGGAGGTTGTGCCTTGAAGTTCTGCCAGGAAGGTACCTTCAGGTACCATGTGGGTACCTTTGATCTTGTACTTGTCCAGGTCTTGGTCCAGTTTCTTGGGGGGTTGGGAGGTTCCTTGGTGGGTTCCATCATCCTCCTTGAAGGGGGTCTTCTCCAGGTAGCAGGAGGTGGTCCAGTCATACTTGAACCTAGTCCAGATGAGGTTGGCAAGCTTCAACTGGGTCTGAGCTGAGCCAAAAGGTACCTTCTTGCCACCTTCATTGTAGATCAAGGACCTCCACAAGGTACCTCTCTTGTACATCTTGACACACCTCTCTATCTCTTCCAGGTGTGTGTCTTTGGAGAGAGGGTCCTTGAACTTGAGGTTGGAGGTAGGTTGAACCTCCGGTGGGTCATCTATGTCCTTGGTTGAAGGTACCCAGGTCCACCATTGAGGTTGCTTGAAGGTCCAGATGTTGTTCCTGAGGCCAGGGTTCCAGCCCATGGCTAAACCTAGGTCATAGATGATGTGCTTCCTAGTTGGACCAGCTTGCTTGGTAGCTTTACCCCTGAAGACCCCCAGTTCTTGAGCTCTGTGAAGTAGGTTCTTGAAGTTGGCAAGGTACCTTTCCTTCTTGATGAACTTGATTCCCATGTGATAGGGTAACATCTCTTCCCTGCTAGGTGACAGGTACTCATAGAGGTTGAGGAGGGGGGTTGAAGATACCTTTGCTTGAGCTTCTTGGAGGGTCAAGGCAGGTACAGTGACCTCCAACCTCAGTCCACCTAGGTTGAGGTCAGAGAAGGTCTCCAACTTCTCCACCCTCTTCAGGAAGGAGGTTTCCTTGGCCTTGCAGGCCTTTAGGGTAGTTGGATCATACAACATACCCTTGCCAGAGGTAGCTTTGATGCAGTGAACCAACCTTGGGTAGACCTTTACCTTGAACAAGGTACCTCTGAACCTGAACTCCAACTTCAAGGACCCATATCCATTGCCCAAGTTCAGCAACATGGGGTACTGAGTGGAGGTATGGGTACCTTTAGGGTTAGGGTTAGGGTTAGGGTTAGGGTTAGGGTTAGGGTTAGGGTTAGGGTTAGGGTTAGGGTTAGGGTTAGGGTTAGGGTTAGGG